AGGCTCGTTTCGCATAGGCCAGTTAACGCCATCTCTGGTGAAGACGTGATATCCGGCTATCGACCAAAAGGCGTGTGTACTGCTCAGCAGTCCGCTCCGTCCTGACCTATGGATGTGAGTGAGACATGGCCATTGAAAGTGGAAGACATGTAAAGGCTAGCCAGCGATACTGAGGTTAGGCATCCGTCGAGTGCCAAGTAGGTGGGAGGAGAAGTCAATAGACGAGGATGTGAAGTTATAAATGGATTAAGATGGTTAGGACATGTGTTACGCATGTTTAGCCATCGCCTTCCTCGATGACGGGCGATGTTAGCTGTATGAAAACCGATGGATTGGGTTGGCAAAGAGTGAGTGGAAGTGGTCAAATCGAAACATGGCTTCATCAGTCAATGAAATCCGCAATGATTAGTTTGAACTAGCCACGTCGGGAGATGTGGACTTCCAGGTTGGTGCACTGGGGACGGTAAGAACCAATAACGACTGGAGACAATTGGTGACATGGTTCAAAATCGTTCTCAAAGACAGCTAGCTAGCCTTTTCATGTCTTCCACTTTCAATGGCCATGTCTCACTCACATCCATAGGTCAGGACGGAGCGGACTGCTGAGCAGTACACACGCCTTTTGGTCGATAGCCAGATATCACGTCTTCACCAGAGATGGCGTTAACTGACCTATGCGAAACGAGCCTTCTACATCCGGTGCTGAGAATTCGCCAGCGATCGACCTACTGGCGTTGATTGATGCAGCTTCCCAAATAAGTGAGGAGGTCAACACACTCAGTCACCACTTCACTCCCTACTTTTTAGCTAGGAGTGAGTCAATGTAATCCAGTCCTGTGGTACCATCTTATATTTGGCGGGAGTAAATGGAATGCCAAACGTTCACAGATTGTTGCTCCTCACGGTGTTCAGATGTCTCTTCTTTATTTTGTATATGTCTTCACTTGGAAGGGCTATATTATTTGCACATTATAGGTAAACGAGATTATTTCTTGATGGTGGTAACAGCTTAATACCTGAGTCTCTGAAGTCAGCAGTAAGGGTTTAATTCCATCTGTACATTTCTGATGAAAGGAAATTTAATCAGTGACTATCAGCTTATGACGAATTCTATTTTGAAAATATGCATGCTTATTTCTCCTTAGTATTTACCCTTAATTTTATGATAAATTTACAAATCTGTTGAACACAAAGTGGCTGTCCCATACTTCTTATAAGGCTATTTATTATAAGCGTCTTGTAATAACTAGATATAAGACCAGATGTAAAATTATTAGATATGATAATGAGTTTATTACCATTCAACGGAACACTTATCATCATCTGTCAGTGTTGATAATATACGATTACCATTTGAAGCTGTTTATGAGTATCTACTGTCAACTTGATTAAATTACCAATGCAGTGTTATTTATTTATTATTTGTCTTCAGTAAACCCTAATACTGAAGTCTTTTATCACTAATTCATTCACATTTTCAAATGAACTAGTTTAGTCTAACAGCTGAAGAATAATTCTGCCGTTATAATTAGTCGACTGATATCCTGAAATATCATTACACAGCTGTAATGCGATGAGTCGGCTACATTCTGATCGACAGAATGAATGGCAATATGAATGTTGGTTGAAAAACATAACCGTTAGAAACTTCCACCCTCTTCTACATACACCCAGCCCCGTATATGCAGTCGGAAGTAAGTGCTGCCATAATTAACAAGAATAGTTCTTTTTTTTTCATAGAATACACGATACTATAGAAATTTAGTAACCAATATAGTCATCCAGGTCCAAGAATCTATCTCCAAGGTGGACAGTTGTAATATATCATCGCTAAGTTCAGTAGTGCAGCTATATTTCACATACACCATGTTAAAAATCAGTCAGAAAGAAGTTCAAGCAGAGTCTATGTTTTCTACTTCTTGTAGATTGACAACTATCACCTAATACCGATCATTGAGTATAAGTAAAAGACTATGGCTATTGACCAACAATTGTGCAGAAGGGAATGGAATGAACACACACCAAGGAGACATTCAAATGACATTACATAACAATCAGGCGGTTCAGTGGAACCCGATCGAGAAGCGACAGGTTGACAGTTGGAAGATGTCACGGAGATTATGAGAGAAGGAAGAGGAGGAGGGAATGGAAACTTGCAAGCAGTTGTCGAGATAAATGGTGGAATGCTCACCAACCACGCGCGTGGTCCGGTGGACATACTCTTGAACTTCACCTAGCTTACTGGCTAATAATAAGCCCTGGAAAGAAAGAAAAATGCGTGTGAGGCTAGCGACGGCACGCCGTAATAATATCGCCACTTCTACTGAAACATCAGACCTTGAAACACGATGCTCCACTCAGAAAGCACACGATGAAATTAGAATTCATGGGCTGGCTTGCCATTGAATCGGGTCCCATTGGCTGAATGGTATACCAGCTTGCCTTGTAACCAGAATGCCCTTGGTGCCGAACTCCTTTGATGGGTGCGTACTACTGATGATTCTCAAACTAGAATGACGAGACAGCTGCCCAGTACTCCCTGTTGATTTTCAATGGTTCACTAACTGATATTAATCCATTTTCTAGCCTGAAACAAATAGAATCCCTACAAACCAATTCTTGAAAATGTTAATAAGTCAGCTTCTAAAGAAGTGAAGGAATTTTCTAGCTTTTGAATAATTGTCCAGAAATGCTGACGAACATCTGGTTGTCAGAAGAAGAATTTTGGATACTCAGCAGCTTAATTCTACGATAAACTATCAGCTCTGATCATGTATCATCTTCAGAGGCTTCATTAAAAGGTATTATAGAATGAGTAAGATCAACAGCCAGTCAAAACAATTTTGCTTACATCCTCTCTTAATACAGCCGAAACTCTTACTATTCATATAAGCGAAACATGAACTTTGTGTTCAGAAAAAAAGTTTATTTTGACCAGTTCTGGAGAAAGAAAGAAGTTACAAAAAAGGAGATACCTGTGGACCAAATGAAACTTTAAGCACCAGTAAGTAAGTAAGTACCAGTGGAGTCCGACCGTAGCAATGACTTTGAAACTCATAGTAAGCACACAGTGGATGAAACTCGATAAGTAGTATTGTATTCATGAATAAATTATGCTTAATGCAGTGATTTGCAACAATTTGATGAGTGTGATATTAAGGCGTACGCCTAAATTCACTGTTTCCAATGTGAACAAGTCGTTGCTAGTCTATCTATGGCAGTAAATCTTTGGTTGATATTTAGATCTAGGCAGTGGGTTGGTCGGGTGCGGGTGCGGAATGGCTGACTTCATACTTTCCTACTGGTGTATATATTTGGCCTATTCAATCAGGAAAGGCTTCTTCTTCCTTACTTGTATAATAATAATAATAATAATTTGCTTTATTCCAAAACATTACTTGTGATACAGAATGGAATTCTCAGCATTTTTACTACAGTATTGCATCCAGTTAGTACATTATCAATAAATAGAATTCTACATAGATTAAGGAAATCACAGTTCATTATTACAACAACACATTGGCATGTCGGTAGCAAAGGTAAAGCTGAAACAGTGTTTGAAGGTGTTAGAAAAGTAGGTGCTATCATATTTACTGGGGTAAGCGAGAGAAAGAAACAAAGCAGCACATAACGGAAAAAAAGAAAAAAGAGAGAGAAAAGGAAAAGAAAGAAAGAAAACGTTGTACCTATAAATGATATGAGTTGGAAAGACGAGATCCAGTTGTTCTACTGACTATTTAATGAATTATAGGTGTCACGTCTAATGCTTTCTTTATCACACAGAACACGAGCTAAGTAGGGTATGGTTGAGTTTTTGTACTTGCTGGTGCGAGCATATAGTTTTCTATATAGGCTTCTGGTTTTACCTGATGAGATGCAAGGGGAGAGTTGTGAGTGAAGAGGGTGGTGTGAGTTAGATAAAATGGATTTGGCCCATTTTTCACATGAGTCCATGTGCCTGTCGACCAGAATATTAACAAGCTGGTTAAGTGGCACGTTGCTTACCCTGCTGACAACCTTTAACATCCTGCGTAATATGTTATAGTCTTTCTTCAGTAGCCCGGAAAAAAACTAAGGGGGAACAATAGAGAATAATAGGCAGAATGCGAGAATTAACGAATTGTAGGAGTAAGGGTTGGGTTATACCAGAATGTTTTAACTTCTTGATGTAGAAGGTAAGACGGAATATTTTCTTAGAAATCGCCAAGATATGAGACGACCAGGAGAGATCAGTAGATAGAATGACGCCTAGGTATTTAATTTCCGACTTGGTTTCTATTTCAGTGCCGTCTATGTTGCATACCTCGTGAGAGCCAACCAGTTTGTTTAGGTCGGATTTATGCCTATAGGTGAAATTGACTGTTTGGCATTTGGAGGGGTTTAGGGTAAGACCATTTTCCTTGAACCACTGGCTGATTTCTGACAGAAAGCCATTAAGTTTAGAGCAGTGGCTTTGACATTTGACAGGCAAAGATACAGTCAGATCGTCAGCATATTTGACAAAATTGATGTCATTTGAAGATGGTAAGTCATGTAGAAAGAAAGAAAAGATAAATGGGGAGAGTACATCGCCTTGGGGGATACCAGCTTCAGTGAGTACAGCAGAGGATGATTTACCTTTGTATACGGTGTACTGCATTCTGTTAGAGAAGTAGGAATGTATCCAGTTAGTGACCCAGGACTCGGTTTTTGTCAAAGAGAGCTTATTTAGCAGGAGACGTCTAGGTACAGAGTCGAAAGCAGAAGTGAAGTCAAGAAACGTGCAGCGGACGTATTTGGCACCTTTATCTAATGATGAGACGATGTTGTTGTGTAAGACAGCTGCAGCGTCTAATACTCAATGTAAATTCCCTATAACAGCAGTGTTACAAATGGAATCGAATCGAAAAAGGAGGAAACCAATACTACTAGAAGCATCTAGTATAGCTCATCAGTGTGTACACAGTTTAACTAACTAGACTGCTTATTTATTTCCTTGAGCTTGAAAAGAACAAAAATGATGGAATATATATATATAATTATATTTGTAATTGATTCAGTGCATAAAATATACTGTAAAACAAAACATAAAAGTTTAAGAAATGCATTTTTGTATATATACATTCTGCATGGAAATATACACAACTGTCAAAATCATAATTAGCGTTGTTATCAGTCTTGTTGTCATATCTTAGGAGGATGGGATGACACTATGAAACAGGCTTTGATTCATCTTGTTATTATTATTATTTCTTATCAATATCCTCTGGGTATATATTATTATTATTTATTTGAACTTCATATGCTGGTGGCATTTTATCATCCACTCCTTCGTCTTCTATGTCGTCTTTTTCTATTGTCATAACAGCATCATGCTCTCTTGACTGTATAACTGTATATGGGCTAACAGTATTAGCTGTAACACAGAAACGCCATTGACCATCACCGCCTTTATATGAAGTTAAATAGCCAGTGATGCATAGTCTATCACCTTTAATTAAATGTCGAACTTTATCAATCAATGATGAAGTGAAAACATAAACACTGTGAGTGATTTTCACGGCGCAGAGGACGAGGCGAGGCAAAGCGAGGGGCGACAAAAAGAAAGAAAAAAAAACAAAACATATGATAGAAAGAAAGAAATTAATCAAACAGTTTTAAAAGATAACTAAAGAATTATTAAAGTACAAAATCGTCATCACTCCTTGTTTGGAAACAATAATTACAAAAAAAGTATCAAGTATTTTTTTATTCATTTACGTTCCCAGTGGAACATAGGGCTTCAAGCTACGGGCTTGAAGTGGTGATTATTTCTTACAGTATGGGATTGCTAGCCTCATGCCCAACCTATCCTCTTTACTAGTCTTACTAATGGCTTAACGAGGTAAAGAAGTGCATCGACCGAGTATCGAACCCCGAACCACCTACAAGGTCGGAGAGCACTCTACCGCTGTGCCACTGACTCACTATGTGATATCCGTAGCCCAAATTTTGTAGGCCAATCAATGATATCAGGTGTGCGTCGAAAGATGATCGAAATAAAAATTACAAAAAATTATCAAACATAATAGGGTGTTATAATTCGTACGCATTCAATAATCTAAAAATTCCCATTGTAGCATTAAGGATACAGTATTCAGCGAAAAAGCTCTTTTCAACCAATTTATTATCAATCTGTACAATCGTACATATATGGCTTTTAAGAAATTATATCCGGTGAGGGAATCCGATCAAATGTGTGAATATATGAAATAATAATATTCGTATGCAATGCAATTAAAATGTTTTTGTGATAATAATCATAGTTAAATGTCAAGTAGCAAAACAATCAATGTCATATAGAGAATAATACATAAATATTCCCATAGTAAAATTTAGAATTTAGAACAACACATTTAAGCGAACAATATTGTTTTCAATTAGATCTCATCAGGCTTGTGTTGTTCTAAATTTTACTATGGGAATATTTAGTATATTGAAATCTCGTGGGGATCCTATTGAATTTAAGGCACTCAATGAGTACCTGAAGTTTAGTGCAAGGCTCGCTGAAGCGAAAACATCGTTGGAATTTTTCAAAGAATGTGTAGAAACCGAACGCTATCCGAAACTATATTGGAGGTCGTTAAGACGAATGAGGATTTATCCTAATCCTAAGAATTTAAAAAGACATGCTCTTAATCAGATTGATTCTGTTAAAACTCTTATAAATGATCTAGAAAGGAACATATCACAAAGACAATTTTCAGTTGATGATTTACCTCAAGAATTACAATTGATGTTCATTGAATATGTTAATAATGTGACAGTAAACAGAATTAATAATAAAAGGATAAGTCTTGTCAAATCTCTCGAAAACCAAAAGCTTGAAAGGAAATTTCCATCAGTTCCGGGCCGGTATGTTCACAATTTTTCCAGTGTCGTGCTTAATAAGTTTCAATTGGAGGTGTTATCCCTAGGTCCCAAATTTAGTGATTATGCTCCTAAAGTTGACCAATTAGACACTGATATACAGTTTGAAAATTTGTATTCTCAAACATCAGATCTTACCCCATCATCGGACGATGAACTAACTAGGTTCAAAACGACGCTAGTTGACAGCTGCCAACAATACAAAAATAATAGACATTCAGTAAATAATCTGTTATCTAAACAACACAGAGAAGCTCTAAGAGAACTTAGAAGCAACGAAAGCTTAATTATTAGCAAGCCGGATAAAGGTGACGGTATAGTTTTACTGGACAAAAGCGATTATGTCGAGAAAATGGAAGGTATTTTGAATGATCAAACTAAATTCCAATCTCTTGGTGTTTCCAAAGATCTCAATGTAAGAGCGGAGAAACTAATGACCGACTCCCTCAAAAAACTGAACCAAATAGGAGTATTATCATCAACCACGTATGAGTCCATGAAACCAACGGGTACTTATACTCCACGTCTTTACGGTCTACCAAAAGTGCACAAACCGGGTCTTCCTCTTCGCCCTGTTTTAGATATGTATAACTCTCCATTTCACGGAACAGCGAAGTGGTTAGTGAAGATTTTGGGTCCTTTGCACAGAGAAATCGTGCAACATAGAATTAGTGATGTCTTCGACTTTATTTCTAAAATATCCGAGACTAATGTGAGGTATAAACGCATGTTATCCATGGATGTATCATCACTATTCACTAATGTACCGCTTATGGAAACAGTAGACTATATTTGTCAAGAAATCGCCGAAAGGCAATTAGACTTAGGAATCCCCTTGTGTAGCCTCAAAGAATTACTTCTTAAATGCACAATGAATGTTCACTTCGTCTTTAATAATTCTTACTATCGACAAGTAGATGGAATAGCTATGGGTTCACCATTAGGCCCAATGTTAGCTGACTTCTTTCTCGCAAAACTTGAAAACGGGAAATTGAAGGACATCATCAAGCAGTTTGATATGTATTATCGATATGTCGATGATACATTTATCTTAGCTGATGAGAATGTTAATATAGACGAATTGTTGCTGAAATTCAACAACATCCACCCTTCGCTTACCTTTACTTGTGAAGAGGAGCAGGACAATAAACTACATTTCCTGGATGTCTTGCTAAATAAGAGAGAAGATGGGTCACTTGGGAGAAGCGTGTATAGAAAAAGCACTTTCACAGGGCAATACACACACTTCCTTAGTTACGTGCCCATTAAATATAAAAGGAACGTTGTAAAATGTCTTGCGAGTAGAGCAAGAAAGATATGTACGGATGACCTCTTACAAAAGGAATTTGAATATATTCACGATTCCTTGATGGAGATGGGCTATCCGAGTAGTTTCATAAAGAAACATATGAAAACATCGGAGAAAAAACCGGAGACTCTGACTGCACGTAAGAAACCTCTATTTATTAAGTTACAATTTAATGGTGACTTATCAAGTGAGATTCTATTCCAGAGACTTTCAAGGAGTATACGAAGAACATTTTATGCAGCACACCTATGTTTGTCATTCTCTAGCCGACGAATGATTGGGACGCAAACGAAGGATAAGCTTGATAGTTTTGCCACATCTATGTGTATTTATCAATTCAACTGCACCTGCGGTGACAGTTATATTGGGCGTACTACTAGACAGCTTAGCCAACGTGTTAGTGAACATCTCCCATCGTGGTTTGGCAAAGGACAGACAAAAACAATCCGTAGCTCAATTTTGTCACACTTAATTGATAGTGGTCATGTAATCGAGAAAACGAGAGCCTTCAAAGTGATTCATCGTATCCCACCGAATCTTTCCAATAGACTTCGTATTCGTCTACTACACACAGCTGAGGCAATAGGCATTCGAACTATTAAACCTAAATTATGTATTCAAAAAAGTTCGTACAGCCTTTATCCCTCCCTTGGCCTATTAAGACGTAACCAACTAATAACTTCTACACCACCCTTTGTTTGTATTTTCATCCCCTTTCTTATCATCCCTTAATCTTATCTTCATTATAAACGTGTTTCATTTCCTTCCCTTACAATCTAACATTACTTAATCGGTTCATTTGTTTTTACTAGCCTTTATCGACTACTTCCACCTGAACAGTTGTTTGTTTAATCATGCTGTTTTTCATTATTCGTGTTATCACAGATTGCCTCACTTTTTCATCCTTATTATTGATAAGACCATTTCTATTATTACTATAATTATTATTATCATTACTACTATTATGACTAATTGCACAATTTATATTCACCATCGTATTATCCTATAGACAAAACACCATGATTGGTTTATATTTGAATTTTATTTGTAAACTTATATATATTAGAGTTAAGCCTGATGAGATCTAATTGAAAACAATATTGTTCGCTTAAATGTGTTGTTCTAAATAATACATAAGGTGTATAGATTTCGGAAAGAGGTGTATAATTACAGGATTAGTAGGCGAATATAAAATGATATATAACATGGTATGAAATTCAATGAGATAGAATTCAGTATTGTAAAAATAAAGTAATAAATAATTTTGGATTTAGAATGACAAGTGGAAGCAATTCAGAGTGAGAATAATAATAATAATAATCGTAGTAATAACGGAAAGGTACACAGAATAACTAAATAAACAAAATAAATAAATGTCAATCCTTCCACGACCAAGGCAGAAGTAGGGATTGCACATATTTCTTTTGTACACAAAGGTCTAGCTTAAAGTCATGAATTGCCAAGGCCTCCACTGTCTTTAGAAGTCTGTAACGGAGAAAACGCGGCAAGTTAGCATGGATTCGGTAGATGATCTTGAAATCCCTACTTCTCTCTTGGTCGTGGAGGGATTGACATTTATTTATTTTGTTTATTTAGTTATTCTGTGTACCTTTCCGTTATTACTACGGTTTTTTTTAATTTTTTTTCCGTTATTACTACGGTTATTATTATTATGATTACTATTCTCACTTTGAATTGCTTCCACTTGTCCCACTTGTCATTCTAAATCCAAAATTATTTATTATTTTATTTTTACAATACTGAATTCTATCTCATTGAATTTCATACCATGTTATATATCATTTTATATTCGCCTACTAATCCTGTAATTATGCACCTCTTTCCAACATATATATGTGTACCTTATGTATTATTCTCTATATCGACGAAATCATCTTCAGAGGCTGTACAATCGTATTTATACTTACAAAAATATATAGTGGTCTATTATTGAGTAATAGGGGGTGACATAATTGATATCATTACTCAGAAGTGGCTTTAGAAGTGAAAATTAGAAGTTGAAAATTACGTGGTACTCAACGGCAAAAAGATAGAAATTTGATAAGGTTAAAATTGCTATTACCATGGGGTCCTTTACTTGCAGACGGCTTCTTGGCCAGTTTGGAGAATAATATTTTACGGCCTACTATCTACAGCTTCCAGCTGTACCAAAGATACATTGATGATACTTTCATCATATGTGACGACAATACCGACATCGAATTGATAACTAAAGAGTTCAACAGCTGCCATCATGCCATCAAGTTCACGTCGGAATCAGAGATTAACTCGGAATTCCATTTTTTGGATGTTTTTCTAAAGAGGA